GGATATAAGGATCGTGTGATAGCGCTTAACGCACGAGTGACATCCAGAGACACTTGGCCAATCCACGTCACAGGCTGACGTGGCGGCTGGKATGAGGCATTGTGGAAGAGGGAGAATTGTGGTGAAAGTTGTTGTTTGTTCATTTCCCCTGTGCTTTTCAAGTCAAGTACTCTATAGTCAATGCCCTTATAGAGGTTGAAACGCTCGAGCGAGTTGTCGAAAGTCGACGTCAGTGGAAGAAAGTGGAGTCAGCTTTTTGGAACCAAAGTGTAGAGATCGCTGGACCACCTTGGTTCATCGTCACAACAGGAGAATCGTCGGCGAGATCATCACCAATGGATCTCTTGTTCATTCTTGTGTTCTTATGTTGTTGTTTTTTCCTGTGCAGTCGTATCCAAGTTGCTCGTCATTTATGTCACCCACATCCTTTTTGTGGATGGTCGCCATCACTGTTGACGGTGGTCATCATCATCATTTTGATTTCTCATCTTCTTCATGATCGTCATTCAGACTTCTCCGTCAAAATTGTAACCATAGTCATCTTTGATTTTCATACAACAATAGTGAGTTGTCAATCTTCCACACCGGTGCCATTAGGGTATCGCAAGTCAAACGTTCCTTACTTATTTTTCACCAATTTTATTTCATCATCATCATCTACCAATCTCAATTTTTATCATCATCATCATCAAGGTTTCTTTATTCATCAATCAGTAGTTATCTCTGTGTTGGTGGTTATATTCTCTTCGCCCAGATAGGTTATGGTCTAGTTGGTAGGTAGGTCGGTCACGAAGAGAGCACTACTCCGCAGGGGTAACACAAGATGGGAGGTGATTGCCCTCTAGGGAGTAGACGCAGATGATGGGAGTTGACCTGGGCTGGGGCTGGGAGATATGTATGGGGACACATTATCATGATATCCTGGCAGAGGCAGACTAGGTCAGAGTGCTAGATTTGAGGTCCACCTTTTGGGGAAACTGGTTACTTAAAGGCAGAAGGGAATGGGGAGGTTATCTCTCTCGTTGGGGCTGATAGGAATTCATACTGATAACGGGGTTCAAATCAGCGGAGACAGCGAGAGGAGAAGAGGAAAATAGGAAACGAGGGGAGAGGAGGAGAGTACACGGAGGAGGGGGAGGGGTGGAGAGCAATAGTCATTCCCTCCCCTCACGCTATAATCCGATTGGCTAAGAAAGAATTCGCGGGGATCGATATGACTTTCCACTGGCAATTAACTTAAACTCTCTCCTCACCCTTTCCTGCCTTTATCCCGGTCCCTGCCGTCTCCTATCTGCCTCTTCACAATTATAAAATCTGCAAGCGCATCCGAAAGACTCTCTCTCAACCCATGTACCAACTTCTGGGAAGTTATGGCAAGATGATGTGTATGTACGACGAGTCAAAAAATCCTGACAAGCTGACCGTAGTTTCGCAAGGCTGTGTGTCAGGTGGTCGTGACGGACTGCGGGATTTGGGCAAGTCAGTGTAGAAGTTGAGTTGGCAGGGTAACGATTGTTGTGGTGTAGAGGTTGGTATGTGGCGGTCGGGTACCATGGTAAGGAAGGTTTATTTATACGAGTGGTTGTATGACCTAGGGCCATAGTTAGAGAGCAGAAGGCTTGCGTGCCTTTGATCTTCAGTTTCTCCTTTTCTTATATTGGAAGCTAAGTTCATAACGAATTGCCGAATTTGGTTCTCAAATCTATTTGTGTGCTCTTAACTCCTCCTTTGTCTTAATCCCCTTCTTCGGTCAAGCTACAACTCTGTCTATCTCCTTTGACCCCATTCTCTCTCTCTCTCTCTCTCTCTCTCTCTCTCTCTCTCTCTCTCTCTCTCTCTCTCTCTCTCTCTCTCTCTCTTTTATTTTTATTTTCCTCGTGAATGTTTGATAACTCCCTCGTCCCTATGTGCTCCCGAGGTCCTTTCCTGCTCGTCTTATTGGATTCAATCGGATCTCGTGAGGATGAGTACCGTTGAAGCTAAAGAGACCAGCGGGAATAAGCAATCTTATTTCATCCCTCTCTGTGCTCCTTGGTATTCGATGGTTAATGCACAAGTGATCTCCCACACACATGTATCGATTGCGTTGTTACCCCGATAAAGCATAAATTTGAAATGATCACTTCGATGCATGAGTAACTATTCGCACGAATGAAGAATGGTCGTTCTCTCGACTGATTGAATTGCATGGACTCACGTTTTGGATTGGTTCGCACAATGGGTGGAAGATAATGCATATGATAATCGTGGTATCTTTTTGTTTTTTTTTATTATCGAATAACTGATTGATTAAACATACACCATCAGCCTCGCTTATGCCATATGAACCGATTACCCCAATCCGAGCGGGCGTCGACTTTCCGTGTCCCTGCCACGCCCGTTCCCGTACAACGAGGAAAGGACATGTGTATGTGAGCGATACGTATGAGAAGCCGTTGCCAAGATCGACGGTCCCGAAACAAGGTGCCCGGGATTCGTAGGCACTGGTTTTGTCATTATCGATACTCATTTTCCCTGGTACTCATTGTTATTGCCTTTTAATGAATTGATTGTCATAACTTTGTGCAATGATTGTCGTTGCGTCGAGCGTTATCGGGAAAGGGGGTTCCACTATCGGACACGTGGTGAAGACGAACACAAGGAAAGATCGACCAGGCTGAGGCCATCCATGTCAGATTCCGAACTCTGTAATGAACGACGTCGGGACCTATTCAAAAACGAGATCCCACATGCATACCCTCGCCCTTTCATTCGAAAAGATGACGAGTAGCCCGCATCAAGGTTCAAAGATACTTTTTAGATTAAAGAACGTTTGAAAGCAGCGCACGGTATTTCTTTCCCACACAGCTCTGACCATTTCTCACTAAACCAGAAGCACGCAGGGGATTTCAGTTCCGTCTGTGTCCCCACACTCAATTTCCCCCAAAATCCTTGGTACACCCCATGTTGTTGTTCTTTCAGGGCCTGTTCCACATATTTTATCACTCCGACAGAAAGGCAACATACTTCGTAAGGTTGAACGTCACATATGGGAGGTCCGTCGGAGGCCGTAGGGGGCAAGCAGGATCAATACTCGTCCAGTCATGAAGAATTAAATGGTAGTCCCTATTCTCCACGAGATCCTGTTGGTCTCTGTCAGGTTTGTCTCCACTCCACTTCACTTTAGCTGTCCACCGCCCCCAGGTTCCCCTAGCCATTGTGAACAAAAAGTCATCAGCGCCCATTTGATATCCTGATTTCTTGCAAAGAGGTCCAACTGGGCTTTCAACAGGTGCCACCTCCTTGTCGTCTCCAGTTTGATTTGCTGTCTAATGTGCTCTGTTACCTCTTGGGCCGTCACCCTAACACCTTCCTACCAAGATGCAGCGCTGCCACCAGAGCACCCAAAGTACAGTCCATCGCCTTAGTCTGAACATGTTCTCTGTAAAGGTTGGAGCCTCTTTCGCTGCTGGCCAATACCCTGTCAGGATGGCGCGGGAGGACCAAGGGCAGGGGTTGGCTGGGATCATCATTCTCCAGATTCCATCTCACCAAAGCCAGGTGAGCAGGGCATTGGGGCATTGTATAAAGATGTGCTCAATGGGTATCCTCCCTCCTGTGTGGAGCGAAGGCCTGCACGCACCAAGGGCACCATGGCAAAGCCTGGCCTTTCTGCTCCAGCTCTGTGAGGTCCACCAGCCAGTCGACAGTGGCAAGAAAGTGGTGGGCAATTCACCCCTGCAGCGACCGAGGTAATCTTGGCCAGTCGAGCTTTGCGTTCCTGGAACCAAGGGACCGGCGACAGGAGCTGGCGCTCCACGTTCAACTGTCGGACCCATCTGCCACTGCAGCGGGGTAATCTTGGCGGGTCTAGCTTTGCGTTCCCGGAACCAACGGATTGGTGACAGAGAGGTAATCTTGGCGGGTCTAGCTTTGCGTTCCTGGAACCAAGGGATTGGTGACAGGAGCCAGCGTTTAAGTGTCTGACCCATCTGTCCACGATTATGTCTTTTTTTTTTTTTTTTTTTTGCAGGCTGCTCCATCTATTGGTGGGGAGCGTCACCTGCTGGAAACCGTGTCCACACTCCCATTAGTGAGATACAACATGGAATGTGAATCTCAGGGCCACTACTGTTTGCCATTCCACTCGGGAGCACCCCGTTTGCCCTTAGCCTGCAGATAATACCCAACCCCTTCTCAGCCCCCCTTGTTATTTATTAGGCTACTAGCCCTATCCTAGAAGTCGCTGCTGTCTCTACGTTCCGCTAAATCTCTCTGTGGTCCCAAGACCAGAAATTTCAACGGGGATTTGCTTTGAACTCGAGGATGGAAATTGCAGGCGGGACGACTCGGTTTTCTACGGCGAACTGTAGAGACACGCCATTCCCCAGAACTGGAAAACGACGTTAGGGCGCTATGGAGCGTGCTTGTTCTGAGCTACCGTCTTCCCCCGAACACAACGCACCCTCATTTTGGCTGTATCTGGTCGGAAATATAGCTTGTATACATTCATTTTTAGGGTGCGTTATGTTCGGGGGAAGACGGTAGTGAATGGAAAGATTATTGTATTGTAGTAAGTGTCTGAATGTGGACGTGTTTGTGGACAGGTGCAAGAATTTGTGATTGATCTACTTTTCTGCATCTCTGTGTGGGACACTCCAGATTCAGACTCTTATTCCACCCATCCTCTTTGCCACTGGGATCTGGCCCTAAGCAATGTTCGATCAGCAGGAAACAACCACAAAACTTCAAAAAAAAAGAAAAGTAGCCAGCGACCGCCGAGGTTTCTAAGGGGGGTTTTCAAGTGGCCTGGAAGGAGCCACATATCTTTGTTTTGGCGAAAATACTTCTTTTTTTTTTTTTTTTTTTTTTTTTTACCCCTCCCCCGAAAAGACCCTGAAATGGTCCAAACTTTTGAAAAACTGACGAGGGAAACCCCGCCTCCAAACTCTATCTATCGGCGAGCCAATCACCAGGCGGTAAATCGTCCGCGGAGCCGCGAAGCCTACGGCAAACTTCTGCGTTGCGCCGTTGTCAGATCGCACTGCGCGCGCGAGCGCGGCTTGTGTACGGGATCACTGGCGCGGATCTGCGCCCGCGCAAGTCACACCAGCGGGCGGGGTATCGCAGTTGACGGACCCCGTGGGGGACGTACACGAAAGGGATGCCGTCCCGAAAAAAGGGGGGGGGGGTAGATTGAACTGTGAGTGGAGGGGTTGGGGGGACSGGGGGGGGGGGGGGGGGKGTTGTGGGGAACCCCTCTCATGTCTACGGGCGGGGGGAGCAATCGAGGCGTAGCAGGGGGAGGAGAGAGAGGAGAGAGCGGGCATAAACTTCAACAGGAAATCGTCAGCACGGTTCTCAGGAAGATGACGAGGAAGACGACGACGGCGATGGTGAAGACAGCTGGTAAGGTTGCTCTGTAGGTACGGACTACACAGCAGCAGGAAGGGGATCATTGCCTGTCTCGGGCTTGATGTGGATCGCGCAATCGACGGGACAGGCGTAGAGAGATAAGAGAGAGAGAGAGAGAGAGAGAGAGAGAGAGAGAGAGAGAGAGAGAGAGAGAGAGAGAGAGAGAGAGAGAGAGAGAGACGACAAAATGGGGGGCGACGCCATCGCTGCCTGCGGCAGTCTAGCCAGCCAGCACGTCCACATTGGCAGTCACGTGCCAGCTCACTTAGCGGCTCGGAATCTACAGGTTGCTGATGGGGATCCTGTTTTTTGTCCTCTAGCGGCCAGAGCAGCCTGTCCTCCTCCTCGCCCTTGGCAGCAGCGAAGGCAGCTGTTGTTGCCGCGAAAGGCAGTTGTTTTTCCCCTAGCCGGTAGAGCAGCCTGTCCTCCACTTACCGGCAGCGAAGGCAGCTGTTGTCGTCAACGGCGGGGCCAGAGAAGCTGGAAGTGGCTGGGTTTAACGCCCACACGTGTCATTCTGAGAGGGCAGTTCAACACACGTGGCAGGGCGCTCCATTCCAAGTCTGATGATGTCAATCAACTAATCACCTGCTCGTCTTCTTCGACGGAAGCTGAGGACAACGGGGACACGTCACCGGCCCAAGAAGACCTGCTCAAGGGGTCAGATACAGCTGATATACGAGGGTTAGGAATAGGAGGAGGAGGAGGAGGAGGATTAAGTAAAGAGCTGCAGAAAGCTGTGAGCAAAACAGCGACTACGTTTGCCCCGCGCGCTTCGGCGCCATCTAAGAATCCGGCGGTCAAGGGATCGATTCTCTACACTATCTTTGAAGTACAGGGATGGCTTTGTATTCTGCTAGGAGGAGCGTTATCTTTTAATCTACTGTTTCCATCCGATCATCCAGATATCTGGCGATTGATGGGTATGTGGTCGGTGTGGATGTTTACGATTCCATCGTGGCGGGCCAGAGATTGCTCGAAAGAGGAGAAGGCGGCTCTCAATAACTTATTTCTGTTGATTCCAGTGATCAACGTGGCAATTCCCATTTTCTGGACTTCGTTCCCTGCTGTATTTTCAGCTGATGTGATTGCCCTCTTCCTCGTATATGCCTGGCAATTCAAATGGTTTCAGACCAATTAAACGGACTGCTACTTATCTTTTTGTTCTTTTCTTCTTGATATCTCAATCTCCAATACTGGAGCGGTGGGGAGTGGTGTCGTGCATTCTTGTACATGACTCAAAACCAATGTCTTGTTTGCTGTTTCGCTGCTGTTTTCCATCTTCCGCTGGTATGATTTCCTTCCTCTCCACTCTCCTCCTCCTCCCTTCTTCTCCTCCTCCTCCTCCTCCTCCTCCTCCTTCTCCTCCTCCTGCGACCATCGCTGCCGCTCCTCTTCCTCCTCTTCCTCCTCTTCCTCCTCTTCCGCCTCTTCCGCCTCTTCCGCCTCTTCCTCCTCTTCCTCTTCCTTTCCCTCCTACTGGTGCTACTTCTACTATGATCTTGCTACTGCTACTCATCTCTGCGTGTACATAACCTCCTCCTCCTTTCCGTCTATCTTCTCTGACTATACTGCAACTACTGCTAATGCTGCTAGTGCTGCTACCGTCTTCCCCCGAACACAACGCACCCTCGTTTTGACTGTGTCTGGATGGAAAGATAGTCTGTATACATTCATTGTCTGGATGGAAAGATACTCTGTATACATTCATTATCAGGTTGCGTTATGTTCGGGGGAAGACGGTACTGCTGCTAATGCTGCTAGTACTGCTAGTACTGCTAGTACTGCTAGTACTTGCTAGTACTGCTACTGCTGCTACTGCTGCTACTGCTGCTACTGCTGCTACTGCTGCTGTTGTTTGCCGCTGCCCCTACTACCGCCACTGCTGTTGCTACCACTGCTGTTGCTGCCGTCTTCACCGGAATAGAACGCCCATCGCTATGGCTGTATCTAGACAGAAAATTGCACGAAATGGAGCTACAATGACCGGGCGTGCTACTCGGGTAGCACTCCTAATATTCCTGGTAGTACTCTTCCTACGGCTGCCGCTGCCGGTACTACTACAACTGGTGCTGCTGCTACTGCAAAAAAAATATTGCTGCTACTACTGCTGCTATTGCTGATGCTGATTGTTGGTGCCGCTGGTTTCGTTGCTCCTACTGCTGCTGCTACTGCTGACGTTCGTTGTTACTACTACTACTACTACTACTACGACTACTACGACTACTACTACCATTAGTGCTACTAGTACTGCTAGTGCTACTACTGCTACTATGACTGTTGCGGCCAGTCTTGTTGCTGTCGATGTGTCTGCGGATGCCGCTGCTGTTGCCTATATATGCCTGGAAGTTGGGTTAATTGTGTAGCAAAGGAGTTGAGGGTTTGGGGGTGAAAAATATTTGCATCATCCCCTTGAAAAGAAAAGAGTGAGACGTGGAGGCAATTACGGTCAGATGCACTGAGGACAGTCTTGCCCTGCGCTTGAGTTGTTACTACCAGTACTATTATGAATTATGATGATGATGATATCATATGATATAAGAAGCATGGAACGATGACTGCAGTGAGGAGGATGGTTCCAGAGATGGTGGTGTTTGCGACCCTACTGTTCTGACTCTGTGTGTGTGTGTGTGTGTGTGTGTGTGTGTG